AAATGAATCTTGAGGTCACATGCCGTCGATTTCCCCGCTAAACTTAGCAGGAAACTTAACCCGCTAAATCTAGTGGGGCATTTTCCCGCTAAATTTAGTAGGGAAATTTTCGCTGAATTGAGCGGGAAAATTGGCGTCCGTCATCATGCCTGGATGCTTCACTTTTTAACTTTACCCTACTCGTTGACAACTCACAGAGAGTGTTATGTCCAAAACGCAGTGACTAGGCATCACGGTGTGACAACAAAAGACAGTCATCGTGTCTCAAATTTGACGTTCATTAAAGGTTCTAATAAACCCCTTCTCGTGAAGTGCTCTACCAAAATCATTGCACATGAGCGAATCCCTCCTTAGGTCTTTTTTTAGGTTAATTTTTCTTTCATTTATTCAGATAAGAATAACACCAAACAATCAACTTCCACGTGCTTTCTTTTTTTCTTTTTTTTTAATAGTGCGACGACTTTAAGCTTTCATGTGCGCTTTACGCCCACCCTGACACTCGTCCTTTGCAACTAATGATAAGCAGCCAGGGCCGGTTTGCTCATCTTGCGGCCGCGGCTGCGGAGAAAAGGGCTGGCTTTGAGTGTGGCTACAGAAGCATATAAATATACTGCCACCGCTTTTATCTCGCGTGGTTTTTTTTCTTTATTTTGGCTCACATTTACCCTTCCTGGCCGTAACTTTACCTGCCGCTCCTACAGTATGAAGGGGCCGTCAATTGGACTCAGTTGAAAGTCCCTGCAGTCAGTTTCTGCGAGCGACATTAGGCTTTTGTGCTTGAACCGGTACGGATTTCTCCGCCATTAAAGCAGGGACGCTATAGTCGGTTGCAAGCTAAGAAAAAACCGGAAATGCCTCTCAGAGGAAAATGTAATCCTACGCCGAGAAACGCCAGCCAATTGTTTTCATGACGTCACGATTCTGTGGACCAATCGCGATCCTTTTGGAAAAAAAAAAAAAAGCTCAACATGACTGCTGGCCTTAGCAACGCGATGCTATAGTTTCTCGTGACAATTATTCTGCTTTTTTGCACCGTGTTTTACGTGGCCGAGGTTACGCCACGAAATCTTGATGGTATCGGCTTGCGTTTGCAGCAGTTTTTGCGCGACAACGTGAGAATCCAGCGACGCTATCGCCAACGAAAATTTCGAAGCGGGCGCGAGGCTTAGCACTGCTGAGAGGTATGTTAGACGGTATGTTAGACAGTATCTTGGACAGAAAATGAATTGGGAAGACGGTACATTGGACATGAATTTCTTTCTTTCTTTACTAAACAGCTATTTCGTTGACAAAAACGTATTCTAACTTATTTAAATGTCCTGAATGAATTAAATAAATATTGTAGTAGTTTAAGACAGGTTTCCTGGAGGAAGAAAAAGCAACGTTGCTAGCGAACTACTTTCTCGACGGCGGAGGCACTTCAGATGGGCGCAATGCGCTTGTGGGTGGAGCTAAAAGATTGTTCTTAGGTTGCATCCGACTATAGGTACTTCCTTCTCCTCATGGAGCTGGTCACGTGACATAAAAATCCCTCTTGGCCGCAGCCGTGGCCGCCGCCGCAAGATGAGCAAACTGCCCCAGGGCATACTTGCAAAAAACCACGACCAACTCTACACTTACGACCACTCCATCTGAGCGCTCCCTATGGAAGAGCCTGCTCCCGGCTGTATTGTATTGTATTGTATTCTGCGGCGCAATCTCTTTGAAACGAGGGTCGAAGTTGGACACGCCAAAAAAGTTAAAAAACAAAAAAAGGAAATAAAAGAAAAGGGCCGAGTTTTAGCGCCGCCTAGTGAGAGGCGTTCTCACTAGGCGGCACAGAAACTCGGTCCTCCTACCATATGATCTCTATGCTCTTACCTCCTCAGGTTCTTCTGTTATCCGTGGGTGCGTGCCTGCTGATCGCGCTTTCCGGTTTCAAGCGCGTTCGTCGTTAATTAGCTCGCTTTTTGTTTTTTTAGTTTGCGAAGTCAACACCAGATGGTACTGGCTGTGACCGCGCGCCGCCAACATCATAAAGGCCAAAACAACCTGGTGCAGCGGGGAAAATACGAAAAAATATACAGAGTTCAAGGCCTTGCCACGAGGCGCCGCTGAAACTCGGCCCTCCGAAAGGTGCGTGCTGGAGTGTTTCCAGATGGAGTGGTCGTAAGTATAGACGCTTTGCAGCAGCTGTGGATGAGCGCCGCCATAACCGACCTTCAGTTCTTGTTTCCTCTTATTACATTTACTTTACTTCATCGTTACCATAGAGGGGCAGGTTATTGCCATTTCAGTTTCTACAGTGTCCTTCTCCACAGCATTGGCCTTTCTGGAGGCTTGTCAACGCCCGCTTTAGTGGCTCGGCATCTGGGAAAGACAAGTGAAGGTCAGCAATGGCGGCTGTAATTTGGCGCGTGCGTAAAGCGTCTATAGGGTTGGTCATGCTAGAAACATTATCTCAGCTGAAACTGGAGGAAAGTAGGCACTGTCAAACCCATCGAAAGCCAGCGCGCGAGTTGAGCGGGACTCAAGCCACGTCTCAAGATGCTCGCGAGCCCCAGCCTTTGCAGTCTCAGATGTGACGCTGTTCTAACAAGCCGGCCCAGGGCATAGCCCAGGGTCAGAACTCGTGAAGTTTCCTCGCGCTTCTCTTTCGGTCTTGCCAGTGCCTGCATTCAGTGTTTTGAAATAAAATCCAGTTAAATTCTCAGTGCTGCCCCGAAATGTTCTCTATTGCCGGAGTAGAGAGCGGCTTTTCTTGCGGCTTTCACTCTAGGGTAGCGGTACGGCCACACCCCCTTGCCCAACACCGCCTGAACCATCCTGATTAATTGTTCCCCGACCACTGTGACTGAAAATGTGTGTCATTCTACTTATTTGAAATAATCTCAGTGAGCCTAGTGAAATAAGTTTTGACTAATGATAATTAAATGCGTGTCTATACAAACTCGTTTCTTGAGGAGACGAAGAGAAAAGGCGTTCCATATAAGTCCCTGCAGGCTGGCGGCCACATGACCCTATGGGTCTAATTACTCTAGAAACTTCTTTTTGTCTTTCTGTGTTGTTCCAAGAACGTCACTCGCGACACGTTTCAGACGAAATGAATACCAGGTTTAGTTTTCCGCCAGCTCTGCATGATGGTCAGTTTGCCTCCTCTCTTCATACTGGCTATTGCAGGTCAGGAACATCGGTGGTTTTGAACGAACCGAGTGCGATGGACATCTCAGATTTCTATCTTATAAGTAATACCCTGAAGATGACACGTGCTGAATACATGTAGCAATTGTAGGAGTGTGGCAGCTTTTAAAATAGACTTTTCATTACAAGCTCGACCACTAATTCCAATCAGGTATTCTTAACCTTAAAGTTAGATTGACCGAAGACGTATTAAGAGAGGTAACACTCGCTGATGGCAACTCTGTCAAATGGCCACGATATTTAAAAGATCTCTCCTCGAGGTCATTCTTAAGAAGAACTAATATTTTTATTTTTCCGTTTATATCCGTTCACATTGGTTAATATTGCTTAACGGGAAATAATGTACAGTTCTGGTTACGGTTATGGTTTTCACAAATTTCGAATAAGGATTTCGTTACGGTTACGTATATTAAGAACATTTCGCTCCTAAACAGTTTTCGATTACGGTTACAGTTACGGCTTGAGTCCCTGCAACAAACAATACTCTGCATTTTTTTTCTAATACCTTCTCCTTCTTTTTATAAAGGAAGAGGTCGCCTTTTTCAGAAACACGCATGGTACGAATACTCCTCTAGCTTATTTGGAACAAAACTGAAAATTACTTGTAGTTACTCTGAAAAAAAAAAAATGTGTGGAAAGAAAGTTGTTTTGAGTGATACCCGCAGCCAAAGAAGATCGCGTTAGTCGGCTCTAACGACAACGCAGCAACACATCGGTATTGAAGCGCCCAAAGTTGGCAACATTGTAACGACATTAGTGGCGCCATCCGTATCGTCTTCCGGAAAGTCACTTAGGACTGTTTATTTTTACAAGCAGGAAATAGCGCAAGTGTGTGTCGTCTGCTACAGCTGAAATACTATTCTATACTTAGAACGATTAGCTAGCTTTTGAAAATTTTAATCGTGGAAAGATTATAATCGTGAGAAATATTTTATTAACAAATTTCCTTTCAAAATAACGTTTTCTCTCAATTGCGTTCTTCGCGTGCGTAGTCAAGCTTTAAAATATTGCTTCATTGTGAAATTATTTTAAACAACTTTGAATACAAAATGAAAAAAAAAATAGTCTTAAACAGGACCAATTCAGCTCCGCTAGAACACGAAAAATGTCAGACCAGCTACTAAAATACCTTCCGAAAAAAACTTGGAACTCTTAGGATGAAATTTCGAAATTTAATCCTTTTAAGGCAAAGTTTACGACTAAACGGCGAGAGTGGTGCTTTTGTTATTTTTTTATGCTGATTTCCTATGTTCATCAAAAATAAGCCGTGAATGTTCGCTGCTAAGTTACGAGGCTACACCAAGTTACGACACTTTCAACTTGTATAGAAAATGCACTTTAAAAAAACAAAAGTGTGCGCACAAATTCGAAGAAAGACGTAAATAGGAGACTTCGATCATGCGTCCTTCATCTATCTATTAATAAAATCAGAACGCAACTTGTTCGCATTAGAAATTTATAAACATAGGACTCAGAGAGGCGCGTCTCCAAAAATATCTAAACAGACGCTTTTTGTCTACCAAATGTTTGCGGAGATAGGTGTCACATCTTGTCCTAAGGTATTTAGTATGAATGGGCCATTCATTTTCAGTTAGAATGAAGTGCGTTACTCCGGCACAGACGTGACATTTTTTCCGCTAAAATTAGCCGGAGTACAGCCAGCTCTGGCATTATTGTTGCAAACGTGGGACCGCAGCCTTAATGCACAATCCCGTTGGCAGCGAACCGATTAAAAATGCTCGAGACTCTCCACGGCCTGAGCTTCTTAAGCTGTCTGTGATCATGAGTAAGAATAAAAAAAAATCCATTTTTATTTGCAGGTAGTGCGGAGGCTCCTAAAAAAACTTGCAGTGTACAAGGCCACTTCTTGGTCCCCTGGCAACGTACCTGAAGATCCACGAGCACACCCGGCGCTGCACAACGGCGCGTGGGTTTCGTGGGGTGACGTCTATCCGCAGCTATAGAAAGCGCTTACGGGAGAAGGTCCCAGTTTTCAGCAAATCCGTGACATTTATAGGGCCAGCTAGCTTTTAGCGATTTTGTCTACGTGGCGTGTAGCCTCGCGGACGACGTCATGGTGTTCACGCGACGTCATCGGAGGTTTGAAGGGTTTACCATTCGCCTCGATGGCTCCGAGGTAAAGCGCCGGCCTACGGATTCCCAGGTGTCGGGTTCAAATCCCGGCCGAGGTGCCCGCAATATGACGCATGCTTATTGCGGAGAAGGCGCCATGTAAAGGCTTATTCACACGATGCATCTTTTGAACACGCCACAGTTTAGCAAAACCGAGATTTCGCGAAATCGGCCTGTTTACACGTGGAGTTTGACGCGCGAAACCTGTGACGTATTGACTCACGAGAATTTTTCCAAACCTTGTCATCTACACCGGGAATATCAAGCGATTCGCAGCAAAATGATATGAAGTATGCAAGGTGCGAAGAGACAGTTTGTTTTCTTAATACCACTCAACGAACTTCGTCAGATTTGGCTCACTGGGTTTACTAGTCCTGCCAAACCCGGGAAAGACCGCGAACGTCAAAGAAAAAGCGTATGATGTCGCAGCATTTCGGACATTTTTGCACCGGTCGTAAAGAAAGTTATCCCCAGCCATTATATTGTATATCCGGTGCTTGCACTCGTCGCGACTGTTGATGAATCTGCACCGCCCCACCAACCCGTACTGCTAAACGCCGTTCACACACTTGCAACCAAGTAGGACCCGCACGCACCGATTCTCCGCTTATCGCTCACCTCCATGTTTGCTTGTCTTTTTTCGGCTTTGGCTCGGATACGGAATCGGCCAAAAATCAGACTCCTCCAAAAGCTCGCTCCGCCTCGAAGGTCAGACGTTACAGCCAAGTCAAACGGTCATTGGCAGCGTCTGCGTTTCTCCTTCGGATGATTGACAGGCCTCGGTGAGGTTTCAAAAAAATAAATTGCCCCAGAAGCGACGAACACGCGCCACTTTTATCGGAGGCGCGCCACTTCTTCGGTCGCGTTCAGACGGGGAACCTGTTTCCCGAAACCTATAGTTTCGCGACACAAAATTCGCCAACAGAAGATCACCAGACCTCCGCCGGGGCACCCCAGATGTCTGTCGTTGGTTTGGCACGTAAAACCCCCAAGTTTGACTTTTGATATGAAGACTTTACCATGACATCATCACGTGAACATAATGACGTCGAGAGACATCATCAGCTCGGTTCCCGAGATGCCACAGTGTCATGTGACATGGTGACGTGACATCCCGCAACCCTGTGAGTCACGTGAAACTGGCATCACGTGACTTGACGCCACGTTACATTGTCACGTGACGCCCCATGACACTCCGATATCATTGTGTGACGTGGTCACATGACGTAACGTCACGTGACACCGTTACGTCATAAAGTATTTATAAATGTAATACATCTAGAGCGCCTTTCCTGGCATGTGCCTCCGCATATGTGCATTTTCTATGCTGTAGCAAGAAGAATAAAAAACGACTTTGCGACTCTTGGAACATGTTACACACCTGCGTAGGACGGTTAGATCATTAAACGAAAATATAGCGTACTTAATTTTTTAGCTTGTCAGAGAAATAAAAGAAAAAAAAACATACGTGTCTTTTCATTCGTCGTGTGTATTGAAGGCAAACACGAGTGAAACCTCGGTTAAACAAATCACATGAGGCCCTTCTGAAATTATTGAAGGCGCACGGGGATGAACTAACTTACGTGATTACTAGAGTTAGAAATGCAGGAAGAGAAATATTACTGAGACCGGGACAAAATCAGTACACTTTTCGTGAACGTAAATACGTTATACCGGAACGTGAATATGTTACAAGCGTCTCTATAAACATTAAATATTTTTTTTCTCTTCACGGAGATACACGTTCAATTCTCATGAATGCTGGAAATGGTAAGGAACATACCAGGAGTTTTATTTCTAGGCTGTGCCTTTTCTTAGCAAAGAGAGTTTTCCAATCGGAGATCAATCGCTTCACATCGACGGAGACGATAAGCGACCACTCGAGCGCTTGTTTTGCACCGAAGTCATACGCGCAACTTGAAGTTCTTAGTAAAAATAGCCACTTTATGTCCAATTTTTTTTTTAAATAAATTATGAAGTTTGCCGTTCGCAGGACCGTCCAACTCCTGTGGCACAGAATCCAAAATTTCAAACTACGCTTCTAAGTCAAGCTTCGCTGCTTCCAGCCTTGCAGCCCCCTTCGGAATAAGTCTGTAATTCTCAATACAGTACAGCTCGCTCGCAAGAGGGTTTCTTCTTACAGTTTCTTGCAGCAGCTCCGCGGTAGCATTTGTCAGATTTAATACCTTCACAAAGTCTCCCAGTCTTTTGAGGTTTTCTGCGTAATAAATCAGTGCTCTTAGAAATGATGGGGCTCTCCTTGGTGGTGCAAAAATATTATCATCCGATGAAAGGCATACTGCGTACAGGTTTGCTTGGTTAAAAACGCCACCAAAACATCGCGACTCCTTTTTCTTTTTTTTTAGATATTTCAGAAAAATTTTTTTCCGTCCGAGAAGGCCGAATAAATGGGAAGATGCCGAGCCTCTTCCACGACGGCATATGCAGATGCGTCAGCGAATCATTCGTAGACGAACCTTTAGTTTCGAAAATACTCAATTGCTGTAGAGCCTTCATTATTGCTGATTCTCGGCATCGTGTCTAGAGCTACACAAGAGTTTAAAATGCTGTCATCTGCACGTGTGTTGTATAATTGTTTTGACCGCAGACAACTTTATTTTCGTTCACTTTGTTCCTCAAAATCTAAACGTATTGAAAGCGTCCAGAGACGCTTCATATTTTAATTTACTACCGATACCTCAGAATGAAGCATAAGGACTATAACTGGGTAAAATACGTATAGACACACTTTCCCGAAAGAAGGTATTTTCATAATTTGATTTTCTTTAACAAACTTTTCAGCGGCAATGGACGCTCCCAGTTCTCGCCTGCCACCAGAATGGAAGTCTCGTTTAATAGTGCATCGTCACCTTCGACCTAGTAATGTTATAACTATAGTAAGATAATAAGATATGTGATTTCAGTCTGATTTTTTTAGCTTTGTTCGGTATTTGTGTGTATAGAATGTAAGAGTGCCTGATCTCTGTGTTTATTTCTCCTCTGTGTTGGGGCGCACCACCGGGGAGGCATGTTGCTGTTCGTGAGCCTCGAGTAAATAAACATAAAACAATACAAATAGAATATACTTCCTGTCTGCACTTATAATTTCTTCGTTCAAAAGCATTCTCCAGGAATGCAAGCTTTATGCCGAGGTCACACTGCTTAAACACCATACAAAAGACAGTCTGCAGGCAGATCCGAACGCGAGTAAACGGGTGATCCGCGCTTTAAATGGCGTACTATATTGCGTTAAAGCAGAAACCTTGCACGCGGCAATGGACCCTTTCCAAATACCGACGGCACCAGGCGGTGGCTGCACGAACTAAAAATCGAGGAAGTGACCTACCTGCGCTACCAATCGATACTAGGAGCTACGCTACCAGTTGCTTCGCTCTCTGAGCTGCGTCGAGTGCACAACGCGACTTTAAAGAGGGAAATCCGTAGCGTCCACCCAAACGTCCTGTTTTTCTTTCCGTCCACTTTCTTTTTTTTGTGTAACACAATTATATATATGCCGCAATTACGTGCTCTACTCGTCGATGTACACCCTCATTCCGAATTTCCTCGATTTTTCGTGCCGATTTCCACCGCTTGGCATCGGGCGCTCGCGCGTGCGCAGAACGTTCGTCGGAAAAGGTCCATTCGACCCACAGATAATGCAATGACTCGTGTTTGTAGATTGTCTTTTGTATGATGGGTATGAGCAGTGTGGACCCCGGCTGTAGTTATCGTCCCCAAGATTTCTTCAGATAATTAGTAAGTGCAATAAGCACCATCCTTTTGACTAACCTTCATTGCCAGAGTAGAAGCTAAATTTGGCGTTTGGTTGTCTTTCACTTATATACATCCTGCGCGTCTAAAAACACCATCATTATTTTTGTTTTAGGAGCCGAATAAGCGTTCTGCAAGGGAATAGACATAATGCATAATGGGACACCTATACAAAGAAAAACAAGCAATCATGAATGCACAATTTAACACACTACAATTTTTAGAAGATTATAAAGAAAGGGGATAGTAACTGCTGAAAATATAGTGTCATTTATAGATGTAATATGGTAATGTAGCGTTCTAGTTTTCTATAACCAGTGGTAATGTAGACGTTTTATAGGAACGGTGAACGATTAAATTGCACGAGATTTGATGATCGGTTTAATACATAGACCACCCAGTGCGACTGTATCAGTATATTTAAATATTGCGCATTTAATATCCACGTTGAATATATCGCCCTCTAAAAACAACCTATACTTCGTTTTTCCTTAAGTCCAATATAAAAGCAATATAATGAACACCATTATTGTGTTCATCATATTGCTGCACGTGTTCTATGCTCGCTAAACCAGTCATAAACAGAAATGGTTCAGCAACTTGCGCTTTTGAATCACCATTAGCTCGTAGTCAAAAGTCTAAAGTCAAAATTCGTCGTAAGTTGTTTATACAGCAGGTGGTAATACCCCTGTCAGACGGGCACGTTAAATGACATTTAAGCAAAAAGACATTACAGCTCGGCCAATCCGCGTGTTGAATGCGCCACGTTGAGCGTGCACCCGCCAAGTGCAGAACCAACGTCACGGGCTGATTCGCCGAGCGGTGAAGGACATTCGATCAAAATGACATCAATACCCGTGCCATACGGGCAACTCGAATGCCATTGACAACGAATGAAATTTGTTTGATCGGCGATTCAGCTCGCAATATTACAGTGTACAAGAATACTGTATGCAATATGTCGCGCGTGGAATGCGCCACGCTCGGAGTGTCGCGCGCTGATTGGCCGCCCGCTCAAATGTCATTTATTGTAAATGGCATTCGACCTGCCCGTGTGGCACGGGTATAACTTTCCCGTCTGACAGGGAGTCTGCCAGAACGTGGCGCATTACATTTAGCGTTTTGTCAAAACGCTGACAATGATTTCCTCTCGACTTTGTTTTGTAATTTCTTTTTTTATTGTTATTTCCCGATTATTGTGCGTGTGCAATGTGAGCGAGTGCGCTGATGCGCGGGGCTTTTGTGAAGAAGTGAACGGCGCGCGTGTACAGTTTGGAACGACGCTCAAAGCTGCGCGACTGCACGGGCGTCTGGCATTATTGTCATAACCAGCGAAAATTGTGCTACATTCGTTCCAAGCAAATGGTGCACGGCACGTGCCATACTTTGACACCGGACGCGGGCGAGATCTGTCTTGCCTGATAGATGCAATATGTTCTTGTCGAATGTGTCTGAATAGACCCGCCTAAAACAATCAAAGCTTGTGCATACAAATTTTTATGTCATCACAACAAGGTTGAGTGCAAAAAAAAAAATTGCACACGAGTGCAGCCTCAACCTTCGGCTGGAAGTCGTGTCTATCCTACGTGTCGAAAGACGCTCGTTGCCGGGCCCGGACCTAAATTAGTGAGTGGGGTCCCTTCGAGTGTAATCCCGTACCGTTGAAGAAGACGAAGTAGTTCACAGGCTAGTCTGAGACAAGGAGACTATGAATGCTTGACGTAGCGATGCCGTGACAACACGCAACGCGTCAAAGCCACAATCCTCCCTTTCACTTTCAAAACCGACGCAGCTAGTAACGACAGCGAGCTAACCGAGCGCAGTGACCCAGGGCTCCAATCCAGCTTACTTTTTGTGGCTGCATTCACATGGACGCGATCGTAGCGCATCGAATCGAGATTTCACTATTTTTATTGGTATTAGATGGGTTGAAGCAGAGCCGTGTATAGAGAGAGTTTGGTCAATAGGAGGAGCGGGCAGAGCCAGGGCGTGCACCAGGCGCAGAAAAAGGGCTTGACATGCTGTCTTGGCCATCCAGAAGCCAAAAAGAATCCCCTAGCGGTGGTAGCGAGAAACAGTTTTAATCACAAATATGTGGTTTTAATGAGCGCGTGAGAGTTAAATGTCCCAGGCAGTACACCAATGTTGGTCGACATTGGCGTAACATTGGCAAAGACCAGGCTCAAAATCAGACAATATTGGAAGCGCTACCCGATCCAACATTGGCAGTCATTGGTGCCAATATTGGATCATTGTTCAGCCATCGTTCCAGCCAATGTCGGCCCCATCAGTGGTACCAATGTTGAGCCACGCTAAACTATGGTTCCAGCCAATGGTGTTTCCACATTGGCAAAGCCTGGCGTAATATTGGTCCATACTGGAAGCGCTACCCGATATAATGTTGGCCGTCATTGGTGCTGATGTTGGGCCATCATTGCACTCGCCCAGCTGTTAGCTAATGCACTCACTAAGCCGTTTGCAAAAGCAAGGAAAACAGACACAAGGAATTGTTTTGAAATCTCCAGAAGTTTATTACACACAGCCTATTTTATAGACAAGTACAAACTAAGCAGTTTACAATATGTGAAGAGGTACAACCCAGCTGGTATACAACTGAGAAGATTGCAAAACAAACAACAACCGGGGAAATTCTTGGGTAGTGTCCAGTCTCCCGGCAGTCGGCAGAATTTGCTCCCCGAAATTCTA